AACCACTTTGTAAAATAATATGGAGGTTTCTCAATCAACTACAGGTAGATTTTCCATATGATCCAGCAATCCCTCTTCTGGGTATATATCCAGAAGAATGGAAATCATCATGTCAGAGATACCTACACTCCCATGTTTATTGCAGCTCTGTTTACAATAGCCAAGATATGGAACCAACCCAAATGTCCATCAATAGATGATGGGATAAGGAAACTGAGGTATATATACACTATGGAATACTACTCTTGCCACAAAAAAGAATGAAATATTCCCATTTGCAACAACATGGATGAACCTGGAGAAACTTATGTTGAGTGAAACAAGCAAAGCACAGAGGGATAAATACCACATGTGCTCACTCATATGTGGGAGCTAAGAGAGAAAGGAAGGAAGGAAAGAAAGATCACAGTAGTGCCATGATCCAACAGAGGGAGGGAACATTCCTAGGGCTACTAGTTGGAGTGGAGGGGAGCAGGGGAGGGGGAGGGAGGTTGGGTGACAATTGGGATGGGACAAAGGGTACAAAAGTAATTTCTGGTATTGGGTATGTCCCCAGTATGAATCTGGCCCTAACATCATGGGCAGGAGGGGGGACAATCAGCTTTGTATCTCATGAATATTTGTAATAAGTAAATAAATAAATAAATAATAAAGCATTTGGCATGATCATAATGTGTGCAACCACCACCACCTCTGCCTAGTTCCAAAATGTTTTTATCACCCTAAGATAAAACCCCATACCCATTAAGCAGTTACTCCGCCCCCAGCCCCTGGAAATCACCAGTCTGCTTCTGTCCTTATGGTTTGATCTATTCTGTATGTTTCATATAAATGGAATCATACAGTAAAAAAAAAATAAAATAAAAAAATTAAGTGCTGCCAATTAAAAAAAAAACAGCTGTAGCTCATCATGGTACATATTTCCCTTTAGAAAATCCATCTACAACATGGGTTTAGAAATTTCAAAACCAGCGTTTTAACATGAAGTTTTGACTACATTGGTTTGTGGGACTAGAAGGAGCCAAAGGATCTTTAGGCTCCTGCAAATTTACCGTAAAATAATCTCGACAAGAGTCGGATGATAAGCTTTCATGTGACCAGGTATACTTAAACTCCAACACTAAAAGACCTTAGACAAAATGAAATATTTGCAGTAGCAAACACTAAAGGGTCACACAATAGGATTTCCTTGAAATTGCTTTATCTCCATTTGTTAGCCTGAGGTGATTGGTGGTAGGGCATAACCTTGGGTAGTAACCATTTCTGGGTTATAGATTCACCACGTGGACAGGCACTGGGCAGACAGCATAGGGGCGTTTATCTGCCTGGAATGGCTGAGGATTCGTCATAGCTTAGAGACTAAGAAGAAGCCACAAGCTAACTAAAAGGATTCCTCCCTACAAAAAGCGAGGTTAAACACTGGGTCTAGGAAAGAGAGGGTTGGAGGCTTGAGCCTCATGACACACACTCACCCCGCCCCCACCCCCGCTTCCCCGCTCCCCCGCGAAAAGGCCCCATCCCAATCTCCAAAGACCAGTTTGCCAAGGCCAAGAACACTGCCCAGTAGCCCTTTTACTTCCAATCCCCGCCCACCCTCTGAAAAACCCCCCACCTCCCTTTCCCGTTCTGCTCGGTTTACTTGTCCCGGATGATGGTCTGCAGCTCCCGAATCTGATCATTCATAGGCAGCAGCTTAAGCTGCGCCCCGATCTGCCGGGAGAGTTCGCAATCGCCTAGGAGAGAGTCGCTGGCTGGTGCGTCATAGTTGCTACTGTCATCGCTGCCACTGTTGCTCTCTGAGTTGAGGCTGGCGCCGCTGCAGGCCTGAGGATCCCGCTCGGCCGGCACGCTAGAATGGGCGTGCCCAGCAAGGAGTGTCAGCTTGGCCACGGAGGCGCTGTCTCCCCCGGCATGGTCCGGGATCGAGTCACCAGGTCGCGGCGGCTCCGGGCTTGCGGTTGAGGCAGAGTTTACTTGCTGGTTGTGACAGGGCATGGAATCCGGACACCGTAACTCCGTGTCCATACACCGGGCCGGGCTGTCCCCGCTGCTACCGAACGCTAAGGGTAAAAGAGAGCGGAGAGAAGGGGCCGATGCTCACGTGCTCTCCCGGTCGCCCCCGCCTCCTCAGAACCTCCCTCTAACCCCAGCTGCCCTCTCACCCCTAGGCTGCTGTCGGTTGATTCCGCTTCCGTACTCTGGCCCACGCCCGCCCAAACCAGACGTACTGCCTGCTCATACACCCTATTGGCTTTTCTTCCCGCCACTCTGCGGCGCACTACTTGTTAACCCTTTGAGTCACTCCTGCTGCGTGGGTTCCTACACGTAGCCAGGCAGACGCAGCGAGGCCAAGGGTGCCTGGTTGCGGGGCCTTCTGGGGACCCTAGGGCTTCTGCATTCAGAATTTTGATTGGTAGAGCCAGGAGAAGCTGGCGATGGAGGGTAATGACAAGTGATTACACACGTAAGGCCCATGTTTTCAGACTTTGTGAGTTGGCAGAGAAATAATACCTCGGTAACTCCATCTTCAGTTAGCTTGTCTGTGTAACTGAAGGAGGAAGTAAAAAATGCCTAGCAAGATGATGAAGAGCCTGTCCTCCCTCTACTAACTTCCCAAGTGTGCTGGACCCCTAAAGCATTTCTTAGCTTTATTGGTTGGGTCCTACAGTGTATGCATTACCATGGGGATTCTGAGAACATTTCAGATCCACTATCACTTTATTTGCTTTAGATAACTTGGAAAGATGCTTTTTCTAAAAGTATGTAGACTCACTATAAAGGCCTAAGGTAAGAGTATCTAGGGCAGTACTTTTCAAACATCAGTGTGTATCAGAACAGTAGTAGAGTTTGTTAAGATGCAGGTTCTCAAGGCCCACTTTTAAGATTCTGAGTCAGTAGATATGAGAATCTTCATTTGTAACAAGTAACCTAGCAATCTGATTTTTTTAAATGGTGCTCTTTGAGAGAGAGTGATTTACAAGCTGCCTTTTAAAAGAGCTACAACCTGAAAGAAACCTGCTAACTCTGCCAAAAAATTATTGAGTGACATTTGACAAGTCCCTTTGTAAAGCTAGGGCTCGGGCTCACAGACTCCTCGAGCCTGTTGTACAGACTGGGTCACAAACCCCTCACACGCAGGTTTACGAGCTAGGCAATAGGAAAATGTCCTGGGAGCCATGAGTAAAAAATTAATAGGCTTTATTCAGAGCTAGGAGCGGCCACCCTAGTGACCTCCCGAAGTGTCTCGGGAAGCACCATGTATCAGAACCATTAGTCCTTTATACTTAAGTCCATAACCCAGGACACCTGGGTGCACATGCACAGTTACATTAGACAATAACCAAGGAACACATGGGCGCATGTGCATATTTACATCAAATGCTTGGCAAGATTCTGAATGTGTGAGGGGCCCTGACGATTTTCCTGTATTTTCCCAACACCCTTCTCCTCTCTGGACTTGACTTTCCCCATCTATAAAGTAAGATGCATTAACTATTTGACCCCTGAACATTCTTCCAGTTTTGACATTCTATACTTCTATTTTGCCTTCCGAAAAGGTAATTCTTAAAATTCCTTCTTCCACACAGAAACATAACCAACACGTGCAGAGATTCAGAGAAAGATGAGTAACAGATAACAGGAATATCAAGGTCTTTGGTGGGACTTGAGGCTTGATCTGGCTCTCTGTTTTCCATTTTTTGTTTGTTGTTTTGGTATTGGTATTAGTGCCATTTTTCTCCCTTTATTCTTTTGCTTTATAACCTGTACTTATAATGTAGAGTTTAGGTTTGATTGTATTATACAAATTGTAACCTAGAATTGTAACCCCACTCTCTTTTGAAAGCCTGTACATCTTTTCACCTAGCTCATAATGCCAATCAAAAGGTCCCTAGGTTTACAAGCTGCATCCGCTAACTTAAAGTGGGCAGGAACAATTGAATAGCTACTTTGCCAATAAATACTCTAAGAGAAAACACTGAAATACAGTATTGATTTATTAGCAGTATTTTAAATGCAGTAATTAGTTTAAAATGGTATTGTAAGACGTCCCAGGACCAAAATTGCACTGTAGTTTTGCCCAGTGTCTCATCAGGCAAGTGGCCTTATTCTCAATGCCACAGAATGTGAATTAGAACAGCACAATTGCCAGTGTGTCTGTGTTTTCACTCATAGGAAACACTCATGCATACACTTACCTATATTAACCAATAAGCATTATCAGGTCTATATATCTAGTCAATTTAATAATTTAAGGTTCTAGCTGGCCAGTTAGCTCACTCAGAGTGTCGTGCTAACACCAAGGTCAAGGTTCAGATCCCCATACCAGCCAGCTGCAAAAAAAAATAATAATAATAATAATATATAATATATAGTTTATGGCTCTATTAAAGCAAAATTCACTAATCAATGAAATCTTAAGTTTGATATTTTGTAATTTACAGAGTTTCATATACAATCTCTCATTGAATTCTCCCCCCAAAAGTTGAGGATTGCCAATCTCCATTTACAACAATATCTGTGTAATTCTTTTTCCCAAAATGACTTGTCCAATGTCACGAATCCGAAAAGGAACATTGTCAAGCCAGGAACCCTAGTCTTTTGACTATAAATTCAGTCTATTTTACATATGCCTATGGATGCATGAAATGATTCAGTAAACATATACTGGTTGGGCCCTTACTATTTTCCAGGCATGTTGCTAGGTGCTAGAACAGACACAACCAAAAATGAGTGAATATCTTTAAATTCTCTATTGCTATGGAGGTCATGGAGGTCATGGATAGCATGGATCTTTGAATACCAAAGGATAATGTTAGGCAACATGGAGATCTTCGCCATAAATACTAACAGCAGAATTGACAAATTTGAGTTTAACTCTCTTGCTTCCCATTTTCTGATGGAGATACAAAGCCAGATAAAGCAAAATGTTGGTAAATTCTTCTGCAATAATTGAGGTGACTGTAAACTTCATTTTAGCTTTTAGTTCTAAATTTGAGATGATCCCTAAAGATAATGGGAAACAGCAAAATTACATATATTAATAGGAATCCTTCACGTGCATGTATATAGTGCCTTTACAAAACACTTTTATATAGGTTTTCTCATTTAACACTTTGAAATAGTTAGGCCCAGTATAATTATATGATTATTCCTGTTACAAGTGAGAATATTGAGACTTAGGAGCCTAATTTTTTTTTTTTTTTTGTGGCTGGGAATCCTTCACGTGCATGTATATAGTGCCTTTACAAAACACTTTTATATAGGTTTTCTCATTTAACACTTTGAAATAGTTAGGCCCAGTATAATTATATGATTATTCCTGTTACAAGTGAGAATATTGAGACTTAGGAGCCTAATTTTTTTTTTTTTTTTTGTGGCTGGTCAGTACAGAACCAAACCCTTGACCTTGGTGTTACAAGGCTGTCCTCTAACCAACTGAGTTAACCAGCCAGTCCAGGAGCCTAATTCAAAGTCACATCATAGAAGGGTTCAGATCCCCAAACCGGCCAGTCACCACCAAAAGATAAATAAAGTCACATCATAAGTAGTAGAGTTGGGAGAAGACAAAAGAGAATTAATATTAAACCCTATTTTCCATGCAGTACTCTTTAATTATCTCATTTAAACTTTCCAACAACTTTAAGAGGTAGGCCCTACAGTTATCCCCATTTTACAGATAAGAAAACTGAGACCTAGTGAGATTAAATAATTTGATAATGTTTCACATGTGGTAAGTGCAGGAACAGGCATTTGAATCAAACCTAAATTTTTCCTTTGTTTTGTTTTCTTGGCAGCTGGCTGGTAAGGCGATCCAAACTCTTAACCTTGATATTATCAACACCATACTCTAGGTCATGTATTGCAAACAGGTATTGATAGTCAATGCTGTACACCACAGATATGTACAATCAATTATGCTTCAATTAAAAATAAATAAATAAAATTATTTAGGACACCTACAAAGCTTTTATTTATGTGGGTTATTCCTATCTATACCTACGACATTAAAAATGAAGATTAAATTAAAAAAACAAATAAAAACCCCAAAACACCATGCTCTATCCAAGTGACCTAAACTGCCAGCTCCAATCCTAAGCACTTTTTGTTTTGTTTTTATTTTATTTTATTTTACCAATATAGAGTGTAGTTGATTTTCATGTCCCTTTACCGATTCCTCACTACCCCCTCCCTCTACCCCCTCCCACCCATCAAAATAATATCTGTTCACTTGTGTCAACAAGTTCAAGGAATTGTAATTTTTCTGTCTTCTTCTCTGTCTCCCATGTTTGTTTGTTTATTTAGTTATTTTTAGCTCCCACAAATAAGTGAGAACATGTGGTATTTCTCTTTCTGTGCCTGACTGATTTCACTTAATATAATTTTTTCTAAGTCCATCCATGTTGCTGTGAATGGTAGTATTTCATCCTTTTTTACAGCAGAGTAACATTCCATTGTGTAGATATACCACATTTTCCATATCCACTCATCTGATGATGGACATTGGGGCTGGTTCCAACTCTTGGCTATTGTAAATAGTGCTGCAGTAAACATGGGAGTACAGGTATCTCTTTGACATGATGATTTCCATTCCTCTGTCTATATTCCTAGCAGTGGAATAGCTGGGTCACATGGTAGATCTATCTGTAATTGTTTGAGGAACCTCCATACCATATTATATAAAGGCTGCACCATTTTGCTGTCACCAACAGCGTATGAGGGTTCCTTTTTCTCTGAAACCTATCATTCTCAGTGTTTTGAATATTAGCCACCTTAACTGGAGTGAGATGATATCTCTGTGGTTTTGATTTGTATTTCCCGAATGCTGAGTGATATTGAGCAGTTTTTCATGTGTCTGTTGGCCATTTGTATATCTTCCTTTGAGAAATGCCTATTCAGCTCCTTTGCCCATTTTTAAATTGTGTTACTTGGTTTTGTTGCTGTAAAGTTGTTTGAATTCCCTGTATATTCTGGATATTAATCCTTTTTCAGATGTATATTTTGCAAATACTTTGTCCCACTCTGTTGGTTGTCTTTTCACTCTGTTCATTATTTCTTTTGCTGTATAGAAGCTTTTTAGTTTGATATAATCCCATTTGTTTATTTTTCCTTTGGTTGCCTGTGCTTTTGGGTTTGTATTCCTGAAGTCTGTACCCGATCCTACTTCCTGGAATGTTTCCCTATTTTCTTTCGGGAGTTTTATTGTTTCAGGGTGTATATTTAACTCT